GCAATATGCTGACTCTCTAAATCGTTTAAAGAGGACTGTAAAGCACTGTGAAGACTATCAGTCAATTTTTAAAAGTTATTCACCATTTTTTTACTGACAGAGAGACAATATTTTACTCCAGATATACAGACTGCTAAAAACAAACATGGCAGGGGATTGAAATGGTTGCAGGCATCACTGCTGAAAAGTATGGGCAACTTTGAAGATTAGCCCTTTTCTGAAATTACTAAAGAGGACTTTTCTTTTCTTCTCTGCTAATTATTTCTTCTCACCTCATCTCTAGCTTTGTCCTTCCTGTCCTTTCCCATTTATATCTATTTTCTCCCTCACCTCATTCCATTCTGTTTTCTTTTTTTGCTATTTCTGCTATGTTTGGGACATAATAGTTGATATGTAGGGAGAGGGGATCAGTTAATTTGATAAATGAAATATTTAATTTTTACATAGATTTTTAAAAGTTGTTGTTTTGTTGTATCTTTTGTTATTGTTGCTGTTCCTCTCTGCTATTTTTAAGTGTGGCTTCTGGCCAATAACTGCTTGCCTGTCTATCAACTGCTTACAAATACTGGAAGGAGAAACGCTCTAGGACTGGTTTCAACTGAAGCTGGCAAACCTAGGATGACAAGCTTGGAACCATGGGATTTCTCTATATATTCTGCATTATCTTTGAAATGAGCACCTTTACAATCTGGCTCATCCTGTTATTGGGTAAATATGGTAAAACTTTCAGAAAGAAGTGTAGTAATCCATGAGATTAATATTTTTCATTTTTATCTACTTTTCAAGAAATACAAATATAACTGTCTATTTGTAGGCAGTTAAATAGCAATATAGCAAGGATTGTCTAAAGTCACAGCACTTACTAAGTCTCTGTGAAGCACCCAGTTTGCATGGAGATAATGGATTCCATCAAGAATCTGATAAAGTAGTGATTTGACCATAGATCTTGGCAGTTGCATGGGTTTTTTGTTTGCTTTTGAGGCACGGTGAAACTTGATAATATGCTGGAAACAAAAAAGAACACAAACATGAAAGCATCATGTAAAAAAAAAAATCCCACAAAATAATTGCAAAAGATGAAAGCCTTTTAATTTTGAAATCTAAAATTGGAATTAAGTATGAACTTTTTATAACTAACATTAAAGAAAATGTAACAATGAAACATCACATTGTTGCCTCAGCTTTAAAAGTACATGGACTGAAACAGGGGTTTTTCCTTGCTCTTCACTGACATATTCACGAAATTATCTTATAGATCTAAAATCAGTTTAGGATAATGCCCACCCAATACCTTTAAAAAAAACAAAACTAAAGATTTAAAAGCTGTGAAATATTTTCTGGACCGCATCTGGAACAAATTTCAGAAATACAACAAATTTGCCTATTGGCTTTGCTTACCTTACAGGTTGATGATTAAGCAATACAGATCAGGATTTTTTTTTTGAACATTTGTCAGTAATTGGAATAAGAAAGGAAATTGACACTAAAACAAAATGAAAACAGGAGCAATGAAGTCCATGGGGCCCTAAATACTGTACCTAAACTTTCCTTTGGTTAAAACTTCTCAAGCTACTGCTCACTAGGCATGTTAGATTACAATTTCCAGGATTCCCATTCAGTGTGGTCTGAAAGTTTGAGAAAGCTAGGCTTTTGACTGATCTTGCATTCAAAATCCATTTCAAACACAGGGTACCCTTTTCGGATCAGAAATGGGCTCTCCAGGGTATGAAAACAGTAATGCATATTTTTTCTAGATATTTAGAAAAGACGTTGGCAACTCATCAATACTAACAGAAAATTTGAATTTAAGATGATCCATACATTATAATGTAGTAAACTAGAACGATTTTTCCAGTGCAAAAACTGAACTAGGAAACATTGGATAACAAGATGCAGTCTCTTCACTCTTCTGTAGAATATCTCTCCTTTACTTGTGAACTCCAATATAGAAATATCTGGAGCTTTTCCAAAATGAAATTTTCAAACTGGAAACAAACCCAGCAACACCCATTCTTCATTCTGTCTCTAGCATAAAATCCTGTTGAATAGGTCACTTTAAAATTAAATTCAGTTTTATATCTGAATAGATGCTGCTACAACCTAATCATCTATGGATGAGGATCAGATAAGATTCTATACATTTATTTCAAATTCCAATAGATGGTTGAATTATATGGTTCAATTAGAAGAAAATATATGTAACTCAAAGTTGAATGATGTTCTGGTGCTCTCTGAGCTTGGTTGTTTGCTTGCATTGTGGCAGAATGCCCCAAAATATATAACCCCGACATCACTTGGTCCAACTGTGTAATTACCAGGAATCCTAACACGAAATACAGCCAAAGAATGTACAAAAGAGTTTACACCTCCCAGAGGGAAGCAAATATTTCATCGACTCCCCCACTACAGTGCCTTCAGAAAATGAAATACCTAAAATAGATGATGAAATTATGGTTTCATTCCATGTCCCAGCATTCTTTACATCCATAAATCCAGAATCAGTGAAAGAATCCATGGCAGAAGTATAACTCAACATACCTAACCTAGCCAAATATACTAAGATTGAAATACCAGAATCATGGACCTCATCAACCTTTGCTTACTATCTACTTTCAGTTTGATNAAAATTGTTAAAGTTCTTCCTACTGAATTCAAAGGCAACTCCCATTTGCCCACTCCCTATTTACTTGTTCTATACTATAATATTCCTAGACAGCAGTGTAACTGTTTCAGGGTATACAATTGGATATCATTTAACATCGGATTGAGAAGGTAGCTCAAAGACACAAGGCCTTATAATAATGTTAATTATTCCAGTAGTTCTTTAAAGAACAGAAAACTCAAGAAAAGTCTCATCTTTTTTAAGCATTGAAATTAAAATTAAATAATTTAACAATTTTAATTTAAAAATTTAAAAATTTTTAATAATTAAATTTAACTAATTTTCTTTTAATGGCCTTTTCTGTTTTGAATGGAATTGTATTTGTTTCTATACCCAAAACACTACAACCCTACGAATCCTTCAAGGTAGCTCAGGTCAAGAAATAGTCTCTACAAGAACTAATGATATTTTAATTTATCATTACAGGATACAATAACAGAATCTTGAAAGCTGCCAGAATTTCCCTCTGTTCTCATGCAGAATCAACGCAGGATTATTTTAAGTTTATTTTTTGACAATATTTTCAATATTATTAAGGAATCATTTAATCTGATGTAGAATTATGTCACCAATAGAAATAAACTTTAAACTTTGTGAAATGTTGAGAGAATTTCAACAAAATGATAGCTATAGTTTTTATAATGGTAGAAAAATACAATAGCCCTATTATATTTTAATACAGTATCTTCCATTGTAAAATGTAGCAGACTCTATAGCTGTTTTTAAGTGTTTTAAAACTGTCCTGTAGAATATACTATAAATAAAAATATCCTAAGATGTCATTAAAATGAGCCATGGAGTGCAGTGATTAGAATGTAGCATTGCAGGCTAATTCTGCTGACTGTAGATTGCCAGCAGTTCAGCAGGTCGATTCTCACTGGCTCAAGGTTGACTCAGCCTTCAATCCTTTCAAGGTTGGTAAAATGAGGACCCAGATTGTTGGGGGCAATATGCTGACTCTCTAAATTGTTTAAAGAGGACTGTAAAGCACTGTGAAGACTATAAGTCAATTTCTAAAAGTTATTTACCATTTTTTTACTGACAGAGAGACAATATTTTACTCCAGATATACAGA